CCCCCCCCCCCCCCCTTCTCTCACTTCCTCACGGAAGTAAACCGCGCCCGCCGCCATGCCTTCCAATCTCTTCGTGGTGGTTTTTCCGAGAAGAGTCCAGGCTCACACGGTTTTCGTTGACCGCAAAGAAAAACCGAAGAGCAAGTGGAGCGTGGGCGGGCTGCGGAGCCCACCGGGGCTACTAGGAAGGTGAGCTGCTTCGCCGCCGCCGCGCACGCCGAAAAGGCCGTGATGTGAAACTTGTGTACATGTAGATTTTGCCCTCTCTGCAAGAGTCTTTGCTTTGACAGCGAGCGACCTGGATGGTGGGTATTGTTGTACTGGAGAAAACCGTCGCCTCCCCGTGGTGCCCTTTTGTCTCTTCTGTACTATTTAGTAGCATGTGTATGCTACCGCAAAGCTGGTATTTTGGTTGGAACGTCCGCTCTTTGCTTGCTGCTGCTGCTCGAGGTTAGCAAAAAAAAGTATGGAACACATGCGGACGGACATAGAGGCTAGGGGGTTTTGAGCAGCAACTGGCCGTATTGCAAACGCTGCTGCTACTGCTGCTGCAAGCCGATGGCGGCAGAGGATAGAGCGCGATGGCCGCTTGCACTTCAAGCTGCGAACTTACGGCAGTACCATACGTACGTTTGTTCGTACCGTGACTCATGTATTATTTGCTAAATACCCGCAGTTCAACGCCATTGGGTTGCATGATTTTCCGTCTGCGCGTTTCCCAGTGTGTAGCAATCTCCACCCCTGTGGCGCTCATGCATGGTGCGTGTATAGTACAAGGTACAATACTATACACGGCAGCGGTCCTGCTGTGCTCTCGTTAAAGGCTCGGGCTGCTATTTGCCGGCACCGCTACAATACTGATGTGGTGGTTGTGAGCAGCGGGCTTCATCGTTGACAGAACGCCAAGCGTTTGTTGTTCAGGATACCGGTGTGTGTAACTGGCGATGGATGGGCACCCGAATCTCGTTTTCATAATTCTTATACATATGCATAACTCCGGCGAATGTTCTGTCAGAACACTGCTGGATCATGGGGTGTGTGGGGTTACCCATGTACATGAACCATGTACATTTTTGTCCGCGAAAAAAAAGACACACTTGACACGCGGTACTATAATACATGTTGGAGAGCGAAGGTAGACTTGACTTCTCGGTTAGGTGTAATTCATGCATCAAAAATAAATAGTCCGCATTACTCCGTACTCCGTGTATTTGTTGTGGTGTGCGTAGTTTCGGTCCACGATCACTCAGCACCGAGCGGAAGCGGTGCGCTCTGCTCTACACTTGTTGTTGCGGTTTCTATTCGTTGGCCTCTCCTGCGCCGCTCTTTGCCTTGTTCCGTGTGGAAGTACGCTGTTTGCGAACCGTCAAAATTGATCATACTCTCTGCTGGATACATCTTTCGCTTGCTGTTTTCTCCCGAACATTGTTGCTGTTGTGTTCATGTGTGTCAGTTCACGTTACAAACCGTACCTTCATCTGTCTGTACTATTTGGTACAACACTTGACGCAGACAATTCCCGTGGTCCCAGGCGAACTGAACATTAGTTAGGGCCGTTTTAAACACAGCTGTTTTGCTTCCAAATTTCCAAATTCCGACTCTGCAGGTTTCCAATAATTGTTTTCAAAATCTTTGGGAGCAACTCGTTCCAATTTTGTTTTCCTCGGCCGCAAATCGAGGTTCCATGATGGACGAATTTGGAAATTTGGAAGTTTTTGGAAGCGAAATAGCTCCTGTTTTGAAGCGCGCCCCTTTTGTGGTGGAAACTGCTGTGCGCATTTTTCAAGCTTTTTTTTTTTGTCTTTACTTCAAATCAGCGCTCACAGCACTAGCGCCGTTTACTCCAACCAGTGGTTCCACAGAAGAGCCCCTCTCTACCCTCCCCTCCTGCGGTCCTTTGCCTACTTTTGCAACGATTCCGGACGACTTGTTCGAGAAATTACCCAATTCGAAGGGATGTCCTTACACGTGAACAAGCAACGTTTGTTGGTGCATGCATAAATAGCCCCGCCGACGACGTCTCCTCTATTCTGACGCCAGTTTAACGATGCCGTTTCGGTGTTGATTTTTGAGGTATTCAAGCACATGTATGCATTTCAGTCGGGGTAGCCCAGGACGAAGGTACCAAGGGACTTTTTCATTTTCTCGTCTCACCTTTTTTTCCCCCTGCGGTGCTGCTGCCATCCTACTCTTGCTGCTGTGTGCTATCATATGATAGTATAATGCTCACGAACTAGTGCTACTGCTGTAGTTGTCTTGCACCGCAATTAATCGATGATTATCTGCTCCCGGGAGAGATTCGGACCCCCACGTGAAGTATGTGGTACATGCGTAGGTTACGAGGTTGTCCACAAGACCACCAGGGGGACGACCGGCTCTTCGGCAACCAGTGCAATGTATCTATCTAATGAGTTACATAGAATACCATACTCTGTATACATACGGTTCCTGTTGGAAGGGTGCCCAACGTGTCTGAAAATGTTCCGGATGCACGCTGGCACGATATTTTTTGTTCGATTCCGATTAATTTGAGATTGTATCTCACGGCCGAAGCTCTAGCCTTGTTTGTTCCTGGTTCACGCCGCATGTAGATGTAATATGCATAGGGCCATGGAGGACGGTTCCTCTTGTCCTACGGGTGGAAGGACGTGTTTTGCACGTGTTGCAGGTTTGGAGGCGGCAAGCGCTGTGCGTGCGAAGACAACGTCGGGAGCGCTAGCATTCGAACGGTTCTTTGTTCTTTGTCAGTTGGACCATATATATTGAGAGCAGCTGTACCTATCGAGGTAGCAGTGTTTAAATTCCGCTATGAACTATGCATACCTGTGCCTCCTCCTCCTCCTCCCTGCCCATGTAGCCCCAAGAACACAAAAACTGGCTGCAGCATGCGGTGGCATTTTTCAGAGTCTCCTCGAGGGTGCGGAACGCACGGGAGGTTAAATACGACCTGATGTGTTTATCACTTACACGACAAAGGAGCACAGAAGCGCACGCTCTCGTCGATGACGAACAACCCTGGAAAGTTGCACGTATTTCGGCATTGTGGTGTGTGTATCATGTGTGTGTGTATTTTTTCCGCCGAGCTTGTGTCGTGATTACAACTTTGACCTCTGCGGCCTCGCCTATGTCCGAGTGATTTTCTCTTTCCCTACTTGGCTTGTTTTTTACCACGCTATCGGTTTTCATTAGTGTGTTCCCCCTCTCTTCGACCGTTACGGATGACGCATGGCCGAACCTTTTTTTCGTTTGCATGTGCTGTTGCGCTTGCCTTCTGAAACACCAGGGACCCTAAGAACGGGAAGGGAGATGACAAGGGCACCGGCCAAGACCAGGGCGCTGGGCGCGATAACGCGAGGTTTGTTCTCATCCGTCTCTCCCCCCCCCCCCCAACAACACCCTTTTTCCTCTACCCTGCTGCTGATGCGCTCACGGCAGTAGGGGTGGGTAAAACTTGCGCGCCCTTTGGTATTAATCACGTGCATGTGTAGAAATTGGCAGTGAGAGGACGAAAGCTCTGTCAGCCCTTGTACATTTTACCGTACCAAGAACCACTCCCGCCGCCGCCGTCTGTTGTTTAGTGGGGCTTGTGGTCAGTCTTTTTTGTGGAACAGGCTCGCGCTGAAACTCGGGTTCGTTGTCGTTGGACGTTTGTTGGCCTTGAGATATGTCTTGGGTGCTGCCAACGTGCCTTCTCGGTTTGGTTGGCCGTCCGCAGCGCCACGCGTTTCCGAAAGACAACAAAAAAATAGCTCTCTGGCTAGCAGCCCCCGCCCGCACTCGGGTCTCGCTACGAACGGGAGAGGGCGTTGTGAACCCCTTCTCGCGTTTCACCCTTCGAACAGCGACTTGGCGCCATACACGCCGTCGTGTATCTCTCTCGCCTTTTCTCCCTTGCGCACTCGTGCGACACACACAGCAACCAACAACAAAACATGAAACGCAAGCGATCCCGCCGCCCCGCGGCGTGTGGTTTGTCCTCTTCCCGGCCGGCGGCGGACCCTCTCTCTCTCTCCCCGACACCCGCCGAAAATGACCGTGTATGTGTGTGCGCGCGCGCGCGCGCGCCGGCGTGTGTGTGTTTATTTTCATCGACCGCGATCACCGGCTGACCAATGAAAATGCCTCAGTCTCGTTGCGGCTGAACACGAAAATCGCTTCTGCTAGGGGCAGATCTCTCTCTCTCTCTCTTCCTGTGTGTTTCATTGCAAGCATCGACCGCGCTATCCAATGAAAAGACGTCAGTCTCAGTGCCGCTGACAATGAGTGCGCTTCCAAAGGCCATGAGCTCTCTCTCTCTTTGTGTTTTATTGCTATAATAACATCGACTGCGCTATCCAACGAAAAATCGTCAGTCTCAGCGTGGCTGAACAACATGAAACCGCTTCTACTACAATAAATAGTAAAGGCCATGATATGTTTGTGTGTGCTTCATTTTTCGACGCCCCCCTTGTAGCTGCGGCAGCCTTACTAGCGGCGGCGCCACGGGAGGCAGCAGCAGCCGGGAGGGGAGCCTCGCGCGGGCCTCTGCGTCGGCCGTCTCGGCGAGGAACGAGCTCAAGAACCAGAAGACCGTCCGCGTCCAGCTGTCCCGCCCAACGGAGGACGTCATACCGGAGCCCGGGACGGCGAAGAAACAGCGGCGGGGCAGCCACATGCAGGCCCTGGCCCACCACCACCATCAGCAGCAGCAGCAGCAGCAGCACAAGGACCAGCACCACCACCACCCAAGCAACGACGTGACGGCGAGCTGGCACGCACCCCAGAGCAGCAACTCGCTGGTGCTGCCGCGGTCGGAGGCGGGACTGGCGTCGTCGCGTGGGGGGGGCAGCCTGGGGTCCGCGGGGGCGCTCGGGGACCTCCTCAAGAGGAAGGAGCACTCGTTCTACCACATCCCGTCGCGCTCGGCGGACCTCGGCAACGGCGGCGTCGGCAGCCTGGCGGACATCTTCAACGACACGGAGAGGTCCTCGCGGGCGTCGACGACCACCGGCGTGGTGGTCAGCACCGGCGGCTACAGCGGCCTCTTCGGCGTGGGGAGCGGCGGCGCGAACGGCAGCGGCGGCGGCGGCGGCGGCGCGAACCACAAGGAAGAGGATGACGACAACGCTTCCGCGTCATCGTCTCAGTGTTTTCTAGGTGGTCGAGAGAGCGGCGGCGGCGGCAAC